ATTTCTTCCTTGGAGATTTGTTGGGGATTTATTACTTGTACTCCAATGCTCTGTGAAGTTCATCACGATAAATATAGGTATAAAGCAGGTGGAAGACTGCATACATCAAATGCTCTTCATAAACATCTTTCATTTCAAGATGTTAGTGATTTTCATTTTATTTAAGGTCAACACAGTTTTATTGCTGTTTTGGAACATCTTGGATAAACTTTTGTGATGAGAATTAGTCACCCCCATTCTAGTCGAATACTTGGAGGATTAATCAATGTCTACAGGCTCCTATAGGCTTTGTGGTGTTTTTTTTAGGTTTTGACTCAAACTGCTGAGTCCTGAGGTGTCCTTTTAGTGCACAGTGCAATATGCCACCTTATTTTGTTTTTTTTACAGGTGGCTTAGGAACATTTCATGCCTTATTGAATTGCATTGTGCATGTTATCATGTACACTTACTATGGAATCTGTTCTTTGGGACCGGCCTATCATAAATACTTGTGGTGGAAGAAGTACATGACAACTATCCAACTTGTGAGTAGTTTTCCATTTGACTTCAACATCTCTCAGAAAGCTGACTGTGGCTAGTACAGACAGTACAATATATTTATGCCTTTTATATTCATGTAAATATCATACAGTTGGTCTACTGGCTGAATTTTCGAAATTCTGAGTTAATTCAAAATTAATTTAGCTTCTGGCTAAGGAATTACTGCTTGCAAACACCTCTCTGTGTAACTGGGAATGATTTACCTTGAATATTTGTAAGTTATTTAGAGGCCTTTTGTCTTGGCAGTATAAACTGTGGATTATTAACTTGGCGGTCTTGTGGAAATTTTGTTTTAGTCCTCCATTCTTTTTTGGGATCTGCAGCCTTTTGTGTCACATGACAATATGCGGTCAGAGCTAGAAGAAAACTAATGTTCATAAATCCTAATGTGTTTTCTGTTCGACTGGCTAGCTCACCAGAGGAATGTCCCATTAGTTACTGGTCACTGTCAAATTACTTGTTTCTTCCGAGTTGACCAGTGTGGACTCCTTTTCCTGTAGTATGGGTTTCTCAGTGCTGACTATAATTCATATTGTCCTGGCACTTCTGTCTTTAATCTCAATGCACTAACAATTGAGGAGCATCTAATGCTACATCTCAGTACCTGAAAAAGCCCCCAGCATTTTATAGATGTAAGTTACGCTAAATCTTTTTAAATGTCAGTAGAAAGTTTGTCTTTTAAACTCAAGTATTGATTTTATCTTTTTTTTTTCCCAGGTTCAGTTCATTATGATTACAGCCCACATAGGACAAATCTATGTCATGGATGATTGTCCATACCAGTATCCAATTTTCATGTTTATTATTTGGCTATATGGCTCTATGTTTTTAGTCTTGTTTCTCCACTTCTGGTACCATGCCTACACGAAGGGACAGAGACTACCAAAGATGACAAAAAATGGCATCAGCAAAGATCAGTGAAAAAAAAACTCTTGCCTACGAAAAAAAAAGAAAAAAATGTGTATGTCAAAGTTAAAACTTGCACTACTTGACAATCAAGAAAATTGGGTGCACACACTACACCGTGTATATTTTGTATGTTTTCTTCCAAAGCAGACCTAGTATTTTTGCTGTAAGTTATTTGGGTTTCAGAATTTGGGAAGTAGAAGAGGACAGTGTGGATTTGATTTAAAAAAAAAAATAATAAAAAAAAAAAAAAGTGGGGAAGGGAGGAGGCTTTTTTTTTTTTTTCCAACAACTTGCTCATGTCTTCCCTGCAAGAAATGAACAGATAGATCACACCTGTCTAGAAGATGCAGGAAAATAAATGTATTTGATCAGAAAATTAAAATGTGTATGACAAGTACAAAGTACTTTGAACATTAAGGGAAAAATTACATCACCCTAGTGGTTTACAAGTTGTTGAGACAGTTAGCTGCATTTTATTAAAAGAAATCAGTAAATATCATCCTTGAACCTAAAGCATATTATGAGTATAGCTAATACATAAAATCTGCTTACAAATTATATTACTTTAAAGAAAGGAATGTATGTTAATCTGTTAAAATATGGCACTTAATTTGAATAGAGAATTTTGGATATACATTCTTTTACTGAGAATTCATTTCATGTAAGAAACTTTTACTCATTTAAACATTATTCAAGATGTAGGAAAACTACTAATACGGGGATTATCTAAACTGTCTTGCAGTGTAATGATCAAAACAAACTACTGATTTATTCACCATAGTATTATTGTATTCTTATTAGTCATTGTGTCTAGGAATATATTTTGATATAGGTAGGCTACGCTGTAGGGAGGAGGAAATCCTGTAATCAAGTAATAAGAATCTTAAGTCGTCACAAGTTGTAAAGAAACTGATTTTGATTGAAATCTGAATGTCAGCTACCATGATTGTAATATGCTGTATTTTCTTCCATTCTCATTATCTATAAAAATACCTCCCTTGGAAGTCTTCATGGAGTTTTATCATTGTTTTTTGTTACTATTGTTTATGCTTAACATCTCAAGGTTAATGTTTCTGTATTAATAGGACCAATTACCTTGTCTCTGTTCCTTCAGACTGGGAAAACAGATGTGAGCCATTTTCTGAATTCCTGAGGGTAGGGTAGGTAGAGGTGGTTCAGTCCAGATATGGGATTAACTCGTATGGTGTTTTCCATGGGTAGGCAGGTTGTTAGGGCCACACATACACAGAAATTAAAGGACATTGCTATTTGTATTCAAGTTGCGTTTGTAGCATATGAGTTCATTAAGGAAATGGCTCATGCAACAGACCTTTAAATGAGGAGATAAAGGTGTTTAAATCAATGTTACCTTTAAATGTACTGTTTTCTATTATGATCACTGCTAACAAAAAATAAGCTTGTGATTTTTTTTTTCTTTTTTTTTTTTTTTGCTTTGTGCTTTATCTGATCTGTGGAATTCTCAAATACACAAAATATTGGTGCAGGTTTGAATTGCCTCCCTGTTGTACAATTCCAAGAAAATAAGTTTTGTAACCTAGATACTTTTATGGGGATAGCAACATTGATGTACTGTTAATGCGAAAAGAGTTTAAACTTTATCTTGGACATATGTTGCGAATAATTTCTTACAAAGCTGCATATGAATCTTCTTTATAAAACAAATAAAAATAATTTATATTTTACCTTTTCATGATTTATTCTCTGGGGCTATCAACTCTCATGGCAGACTGCAGTTAAATTAGGATTTGATTGGTGTGTGATATATATCATGATCTTCATTTGGGTGCTTAATCCTCAAATCCTTAGTGCTGAGTTTGATTTCCCTGGCTGAGCATGGAGGGAGATTCTGCACAAACTCATACCAGCCGAAGTGCTGAGTGGGGAAATGCCATCACTGACACCAAGTCTCAAACTATGCCAGACTGTATGTGTGCCCTTGGCTTCCAAAGTAGGGGCTTATCTCCTCAGAACCAAAACCTCGTGTTGTATAATAATGTGTTAAATAAGTACTGATGAAGAAAGAGTTCTCTGTAGTCTTGTAGGTAACTCCAGCTCTTGAGGAACTCATAGTTTTGGCTGCCCACTTTGCTGTTATTGCTCCCACCCCAGTGGTGCAAATGCATGAACATGCAGTGATCAGAACTGGTTGGAAGTTTTACCAGAAGTAAGAGATGCTGCACACAGTCACAGTTTAGGTGGAATGTGGCCTACAGCAGAGTGTGAGGGGCTGTGCGCTATTTTCTTAGTCTGCAACTTAGACCAATATCTGATTTTTTTCCACACACTGAAGCTGTGACAATGCATGGTCAAAACTGAGCTCCAAAGTGAGCATCTCTAGACTCCTTTAAGGAGCCAGGAAAATCTCCCAAGTCCAGCAGTTGTGAAGCAGCCAACTGCCTCTGCAGCCAGTTGCTGGGAATCAAGATTTAATTAAGCAGGAGATGCTTATCAGTCCACAGGCTGTCTGCAAGGGCTGCTTTAGAGTCCAGCTATGTAATTCCTTGCAGACTGCTTTTGTTTCTGTGTGTTGTATGGGTATGCAATCAGGGGCTGCATACAGAACAGTTATCCTAAGTGCTTCATTCCAAAATCATAGGATTACTCAGGTTGGAAGAGACCTTAAAGATCAAGTCCAACCATGACCTAACCATACTACCCTAACATTAATGTTATTAATCCCATCCTGGGTTGCTGCTTGTGAGAATCACACGGGCAGCTGGCTTTTTTCCTACCTAACAGTTGTATGTCAGAGCTGAGTACTACAGGAACCATTTCACAGTGAACACGTGATGGCAACGAGGGGACAAGGTTGAGACTGTGTGTCCCTTAGGCTTATGACAGGAGAGAGACAAATACCACTACTTACACCTGAGGAATTGAGTCTGCATTTTATTATTATTCGTTTTCTGTGAATTCGTGAAGTCACCGTGCTAATTCACCATTCTTTGCACACCTCAGCTCACCTTCTTTGCAGGTGTTTTCCAGTCTCAATCCTCGGCCCCTCTCCCAAACGTTCACTGCTCTGCCCTAGCAGGAAGCAGAGGCGATGAGTACTTCACGCTCGTTTTAAAAATTTAGCCATCTATCCCTCCGCTGTGCTCAACAGGAAGCAGGCGTTGCGCTACTCTGCCCAGTCACCGCCATTCTTCACCGCCTCTGGGCTAGCTCAGCCGTTAGAGCCGAGGGAGGGAGCTTTCCTCTCTACCCGTACTGGGAAAAGGGCGGGCTGGCAGCTGGGCGTGACAGAGCCAAGCCGAACCCCGCACAACGCCACCCCCCCTCCCACTGCCCGCCCCTCCGCCCGGACTGCTGGGAGGAGAGGGCCGCGACACTCCCCGTGCCGAGAGCGTAGTGCCGGGGGCGGGACAGGTGTTCCCTCCACCAATCAAAAACGTCGACGGGCCCGTCAGGTGCTGCGACTGGCGCCCAATGGGCGAAAGCGACGCCTCGCGGGCTCTGATTCAAACGGTCGGCGGGCGCAGTGCGTGCGGCTGCTGGTTTCCGTGGAGACGGGGGGCCCGGCCGCGTCCATGGAGCCGGGGCTCGTCGGGCCCGGGCCGTACCGCGCCACCCGGCTGGTGAGTGAACGCCCGCTGGGCCGGCTCCCGCTCGGAGCCCTGCGCATCCTTACTTAGTCCCGGGGGGAGCTTCTCCCTAGCGGTTCCGTAGAGCTGAGCTTCTGAGGGCCGAGCGCTGCGGCCCCGGGCCTGTCCGGGCAGCCTTCCCCGGCGGCCGGGGACCTGAGGCGCGCTCAGATACGCGCTCAGAGGCGTGCTCATATACAACGCCGGGTGCTGGTGTTACCTGAGGTGAGTCCGTGCGGGGCGATCGGCCCTGCGGAAGGCGGCCGTGGTCCGGTCCTCCGCCTCACTAACAGGGTGAGGGGCGGCCGAACTTCCCCCTGGAGCCGCTGAGCCGTCGGGAGCGGAGGGCTGTGGGTGTCCTGGCTGCCGTGTTCTTGTGTCCGTTTGCACATCTCTGGTGTTTAAATGAAAGTTCGGGTTTCAGTGTGCTTGTTGCCCAGGTGAACGAAATCTACCCAAATCTGTGTTCTGCGTAACTAAAAACGCTTCCTGTGGAAGAACTCCCGTAACAGTTTGATTTGTGTCTCCTTCCTAGTGGAATGAGATAATCGAACTCTTCCGTGCTGGAATGCCTCTAAGGAAGCATCGGTGCCGCTTCAAAAGCTACGAGCGTTGCTTCAAAGCCTCGGAGGCAGTGGACTGTTTGCATGAACTACTTGGCTCTAACCAAAACTTTGGCCCAGAGGTGACTCGCAGTCAAACGGTTAAGCTGCTTAAAAAATTCCTGAAAAATCATGTTATTGAAGATATTAAAGGAAGATGGGGCAAAGAGGACTTTCAAGATGATGGCCATTTGTATAGGTAAAGCTATGTATCGTAGCTGTGGAAAACGTAGGTTTTATGAAAACGTTAATAGCTTTTATGTACTGGTCTTACAGATATTTCTGAAAAATGCTGTTGCAGAGGTATCAGTGTGTCTTTCTCCTTTCTGTTAAAGACACTTTCTCCTAGTGATGTCAAGTAGCAGGACTTAACGCTTGATTTTTTTTTTTTTCTCAATATATTTTTATAGGAACTTTTCACTTGATTTCATGTTACAAATACAAAGTTGTTTATAGATTTTACAAGGTGGCAGAGTCTTTATGCTGCTGATAGATCTCAGGCTTGTCAGTAACTGAAAGTGTATTGAAAAGTGCTGATAAAAGTGGGTATGATACTGAGTGTCCAGCTCCAGTTCTCCTTCCCCAACCCTACCCCCATCTGCCTTGGATGAAATTTCCATTCCTTCTCAGAGAAGAGGGGCCATCTGAATTTAAGTATCATCTGCAACAGCACTTTTCTTTACACCTTGGATCATCGATAGATATATTCTCTAGTTAAGAAAGTCTCCTGAAAGAAAGAAATTCTTACTTACATCAAGGATAATTGTTTGTTTATCCTTGTCTAACCTCTTAACTTGTACTTTGTTAACAGAGATAAACTAATCTATTTGAGTCAAAAGCTTAGCATGTTTAGAGGGGTTCTTTCACTTCCTGTGGCATCTGTTAAGGCTTGGGTATCAAGAAATTGTGGGTTCTAAATTCTTACATTCTTACATTGTTCTGTTTAATAATGTAAAAGTAAACATTATCTTTAGCATGAATTTGTAACCTACATTGTGATGAATCTTCTGTTGAAGAAATGGAAGCAGTAATGTTATGTTTCTGCTTATGAGTCTTTCTCATAAAGCATTATTTTGTATTTTTATTTTTCCATGGAAAATATTAAGAAATCGTTACAAGTGTAATGTTGAATTTCCAATTGGTGTGAAGTTAGTTTTTTTATTTTGCTGTATTATCTTTCATAGTTTCTAAACTGAAGTGTTAGCTTTTTTTTCCTCTCTCTTATTCGTACATCTGTGCTCTAAGCACTGCTTTTCACTACTGCTCATTTTCTCTGTTAACTTAGAATACTTCAAGGGTAAAAGATACGTATGATGTAATTCTTTCTCTGTTGTTATAAACAGAATACAGCTGAGATATTTTTCTCATAAAGTAACCACATTTTTTGTTTACAAACTTGTGCAGATTATTTAAAATCAGTTGGATTTGTGATCGATTCAGTTAACAAATTAATACTGACTCAAATTTCTTTACTGCTGCATGACATCTTTCAGTTAGTGGCTGCAAGTTCTTGGTTTAATATTCTGAAGAAAATAACAAAAGCAAAAATAAAAAAAACCCTATACCTCAGTGTTACAACTTCTCAGCCAAGTAAGTTAAATATTTGAACCAATTTTGATCAATCTTTGTAGGAGAAACTTTAAATAAATTTGGAGGAATAAAAATTGAATGTGTTCTCCAAATTTAGCCTCATTGGAGGGGTTTAATGTAATCATTAAAAAAGGAAGTTTAATGTGTTGTCCTGTTCTTAAACTCTTCTGGCTATCTGCTTGAGGCTGCTGTGTGGGGTGGGAAGAGGGAGCAGATACTGATAACTTTGCCCATGAACTACCCAGTGATTCAAAAAGCTGAGGGGCTCTTGCACCTTGACTTTAAACTGGAACTAAAGGTTAAGTGTAATGGAATGATGTGGTATGAGCTGGTTTATACAGCTGAAAATCACCTTCTGGTGGGAAGACTATCGGAGGATGCTGGCATAAAAATATGTTGAGAGTGACAGAAGATAATTAATAATCATGTCAGTGTATTTCATGTTTCTAGGGGTTATGTTAATGATTGGAATAGAAAGGCTATGTACTTGGTTTTAGAGATAATTTCATGTATATATTTCAGGACCAATGCAGAGGAGAGGGATTCTGAAGAAACTGGAAAAGATGAGAGAGGAGGGTGCAAGGTCTCTAGAGGTTTCACAAAATACTTTTGAAGAACTGTGGAATGCTTGCCTTAAAGCAACTTTTGGTGTAGAAATGGTAGCACAGAATTGTATATTTGTTATTTCCTTTCTTTTCCATATACATAGGGTTAAACATTATTTTTCTGGCCTGCCTTTGCTCACATATTTAATGTCCTGGCAGCTCCCTCTGGTGGACTTCACTAAAGTTAATCTTTTAGATACAAATGTCTTACAATCCTAATATAAATTGAAACACAAGTAGCTTTTACTTCCATTGATAATACTTACACTGGAAATCTTGACTTGGTTCATATCTTGCCTGTAGATTTCCATGTTAATGGACTGTAACTGCAACTATATGCTATGATGCAGAGTTGTCAGTGGAAATCAAAGTAGTTAGATATTTCCATAATTTTTTGTATAACTGAAGTACTCATATAGAACATGTAAGATGTGCTGTCAAATATTGTTTTGCCTGAAAGTGTTAGGAAAATTATTAATTGTCAATGTGAAAAATAGTATGCTTTCTGGGTTGGTGACTCCTGACCTAATGGCTCAATTTAGTCTAAAACAATAAATGATATGTTCCAGTTTTGGAAGCTTTCAGGCTTTATGCTTCTTGGAATCGAGCAATTGTATTAAAAGGGCATGTGCACTGCTAGTATAGAATCATAGGACCTTTTGAATTGGAAGGGACCCTTGGAGGGTCATCTAGTCCAGCTCCCTGCAATGATTTTAAAATATTTAAAATACAAACAAACAAAAAACCACCACCGCCAACAACAAAAAACCCTTCTTCCTTATATTCAGTCTAAATATCCCTTTTTCAGTGTGAAATCATTTCCCCTTGTTCCATCACAGCAGACCCTGCTGAAGAATCTCCTTACTTCCTAAAGCCCTAGATGCTGAAAGTCTGTGATCAGATCACCTTGCAGCCTTTTCTTCTCCAAGCTGAACAGCTCCAGCTCACTCAGCCTATCCTTGTAGAAGAAGTGTTTCATATTTTGGATTATTTTTGTGGTCTTTCTCTGAATGTGCTCCAACAGGTCTCTCCTTTACTGAGGTCTTTACATCTAGATGCAGTATTCCAGGTGAGGCCTCACCAGCGCAGAGCAGAGGGGTCGGAGCACATCCCTCGCCCTGCTGTCACACTTCTTTTGATGCAGCCGGGAATACGATTGGCTTCCTAGACTTTGAGAGCGCATGTCCATCTTAACAGCCACCAAAACTTCCAGGACCTTTTTGGCAGGGATGTGCTGTACCCTTTTGTCCCTCAGTTTGTACTGGCAGTGGAAATTGCCATGACCCAGGTGCAAGACCATGCACTTGGCTTTGTTGGACCTTGTGAAATTCACTTGGATCCACTGCTTTAGTCAGTCTAGTTTTCTGAATAGCACCCCGTTCCATTATGGTCTTAAACTGAGACAGAGGAGGTTTAGGTTGGGTATAGGAAGTTTTTCACCCAGAGACACACTGGAACAGGTTGCTAAAGGAGGTTGTGGATGCTCCATCACTGGAGGTATTCAAGGCCAGGCTGGATGTGGCTCTGGGCAGCCTGGTCTGCTGGTTGGTGACCCTGCACATAGCAGGGGGGTTGAAATTCAATGATGTTTGAGGTCCTTTTTAACCCAGGCCATTCTATGATTCATTCTATGATTCCTCAGGCATGTAAGCTGCCAGATGCAGCTTTGTGTTGTCCCCAAACTTGCTGAGGTTTCATTTAATCGTGCTGTTGAGGCAATGAAGATGTTTCAGAGCTGTGGTCCCAATACAGATGCTTAAGAGTCACTGCTTATCACTGATTTCCATCTGGACATTGAGCCACTGACTGCTAACTACTCTGTAGGTATGGTCTTGCAACCAGCTCCTCATCTGTAGACCAGTCCACCCATCAAATCCGTATCTTTCTACTTTGAAGAGAAAAGTACTATGGGTGCTATATTAAGGGTCTTACTGAAGTCCAGATATATGACACTGGTGGCTCTTTCCTTGTCCATTGACAAAGTTATGCCATCTTAAAAAGTGACAAGCTTGATAAGGCAGAACTTGCACTTGGTGAAAATATGCTGGTTATTCTGCATCACCCTTCTCTCTTCCATATGTCTTAGCGCAGCTCCCAAGAGCATCTGCTCCTTGATCTTACCGAGCTCCAAGGTATGGCAAACAGGTCAATAGCTCCCTGGATCATCCTTTCTACTCTTCTTAAAAGTGGGTGTGACATTGCCTTTTCTCCAGTCACCAGGGACTTTATCTGAGTACCAGGAGTTTTTAAATACCGTTGAGAGTGTTTTGACTGTGTCAACCAATTCCCCCAGGACGCTGTAGTGCATTTCAGTGGAACTCATAGACTTATGGATGTTCAGTTTCCTCAGATGATCACAAACCTGATCTCTGCTTACAGCAGAATGGGCACTGCTCAGCCAATTTCCACCTTCTGAACCACCTGCTTGAGGGCTGTGTGTAGAGCACCAGCTAGTGAAGGCTGAAGTAAAGATGTTGAGTATCTCAGTCTTTTCCTTATCTTTTTTTTACCAGCCTACCTTTGTTGCTCACTGTACTTTTCTGGTTGATGTACCTGCGGGACTCATTCTTCTTTTCATCCTTTGCCAAGTCCAGTTCTGGTTGGGCTTTGGCCTTCCTAATCCCATCCCTACTCAGCCTAGCAGTACCTCTATACTCCTCTTAGGTTACTTGTCCTTGCTTTCACTGCCTGTGCGTTTTCTTCTTGCTCTCCAGTTTGATGAACAGGCTCCCTGGTTCAGCCATGCCTCCTTTTCCCTAACTTCCTTCATGTGGAGATGAAAAGCTCTTGAGCACTAAGGAAAGCTTCCTTAAATACCTGTCAGCTCTGTTACACTCCCTTGTCACTGAGGGCTATTTCCATTGCAATTTTGTTATCTAACTTCCTGAAGAGCTAGAATTTGGTTTTCCTAATATTAAGGTTCCTGATTTTAGTCTCTGCCTATCCAGTATCCCTCAAGTGTGTGTGAACTCCACCACCGCATTATCACTACAGCCCAGGCAGGCTCCAATTATGTTAGTGAACAACAGGTCCAGTATTGCATCCCCCTGATGGGGCTGTCTATTACTTTGCTCAGGAAGTTACCCTTGATGTAATCCAGGAAACTCAAGTGCCTGCAGCTCGCTGTGCTCCTTTTCCAGCAGATGCCAGGGTAGCTGAAAGTCTTTCAGCAGGGTGAGAACCTGCGATCATTGTGTCTGCTGTAGCTGGAGAAAGGTTTCATCAACAGGCTTTGCTTGATCAAGTGTCCTGCATTTGACACCAACCACAAAGCTTCTTTTGTTGCCTCTGTCTCTCACCTGTAGCCTTTTACTTTGCTCATGGCTGTTTTTCAGGGGCAGCTCTTCACACAGTATTTATTCCTTGATGTAGAGGGAAATGCCTCTTCCCTTCCTTCCCTGTCTGTCCTTCCTGAACAACATGTAGCTGTCAATAGCCACACTCCAGTCATGGGAATCATCCACCAGGTTTCAGTGATGGCAACTACACAGTGGTTTTCCAGGAGCCACTGGTGGCTTCTATCTCTTGTTTGTTTCCCAAGCTGCATGTGTTGGTGTAGAGGCACTTAGTTCAGCTGGACAGCTGGCCTTGCTGTCTTCTTGCATGATAATTTCTTAATTCCTTTCAAGTGTTTGCCTTCAGTCTTCTTGTTGCTTTCAGATGTCTGGGATTTCATCTGTGACATTTGTTACACCATTAATTCAAGGTTAATTGACACAAAAAGGTATCTTTGCTACCTGCTTGTCTAAACTGCTAAAACTAGTGCTGTTTGTAGAAAACAGTGTAAATCTTGACATATCAACTTTGGAATGCTTCTCAGTTTCAATCTAATTCTTGGGTTATTTTTGTGTAGAAACCAGAGACTTTTCACCGTCCGTCCAAAAGCTTGACCATATGAATCTTACTGTAATGCTATGTCATGGAGTTTCTCTAGATCTGTCTGATATACTGATTTAAAAGAAGGCCATAAAATCACGACATCTTATTTGAGAAGAGAGGAATGCACCTACTTTTTCTGGTTTCAAGGAAGCTTCTCTCCTGGTTGAGGAAATTGACAGATTCAGGTGTTAGGATGAGCTAGAAGGGAAATGGGAAACTACTGAGAATATTGTAAAGCAAAAGAAAAAAAAGATTCTTAACCCAATAAAACTAGAAAATAAAATTAATGTGAAAGCTAATTAGATGTTGAGATTAAAAAGGTGGACTAAAATTTTAGAGAACTTGAGAAATCTTGAGTATGAAAAACGTTATGGCAGGATATGATTGTGTGATATCTACTCGTGTACAAGTTCTTGTTGCTTAGGCATAGCTATAACTGTCCTTCACACACTGATAAGGGGATGAAGGAGGTAAAAGCAATTTCTTAGAGCATCAGGAATCTTAGCATCTAAAACTTGGGAGTGTGGGTAAATGAGATTTGATCTGAGCCAGATTGATGGGAAGATTATAATCAGATTTATTTCTAATGTGCTGTCATTAATTTTTTTTACATACGCTCCCAGCAGGGTGGGGATTGTTTTCTAGTACCTATAAGGTCTAGCTTAGGGTTTATTTCTGCCAATTTCTTCAAGGTACTTCTTGAAATGCATTAAAAGGTGAAAGTTTCCTTCACAACCAGCTGGAAAAGACTCCAAATTGCAAGATATGATCTTTGCATAGAAAGCATGTAGACAAAAAGAATATGGTAATGCGGACAGAACTTTATGCACTGATTTGTGTGCATGCTAATTAAATGCAAATGATAGGTCATGTATCTTTGTATCTTTGCTTTGCACATGGTGAAAAACCTACCTACAGCTTTTTCAGCAGAAACCCACCTTCTAAAGAATAGTCAAGTGGTGCTGTTTGAGATACACCAAAGACATCTACCCGAGGCTTTCAGTTACATCATAGAATATACAAAGGGCTTCAGCTATTCTGGAAAAGCAGATAAAGGTCAAATGACTCATCCTAGGATGTTTGACCTTTTACTTAACACCTATCTTCAGGCAATTAAGGTGCTTTGTAAATGTCCAAGGCTTTTGCTGTACTTGTGAAAGCTTACTTGCATAGTTTTCCTTTGGTAAATATGGAATAATGTGAAGTTCAGAAGTTTTAAAAGTGTTTTCCAATTATAGATTTCCTCCTTCCTCACCACTGAAGCCATATCCAAAGAAACCTTCATTTGGAAAGGAAGTCATTAAATTTCCAGATTGGAATGATCCAAAGGCTGGCACTTCCCAAGAACACATTCCTGTGAAATCCATCATGACGGTAAGATACTCAGTTAATTTCTCCAGACCTATACACATTTGGAAAGCAAAATTCAATCAGGAATTCTTCATTGTGCCACAAACTACTTGGTTAGAGAATTGAACGTAAAATACCTAATTGTGTGGAGCAAAGTTGTTCTTAATGATTTGCTGAAGATTTTGGCTTTGAGTATTCTTTCTGTTACAGACTTATGTACTTAGCGTCCTAGTTCAGCATGGATGCATTTGCCAATATATTTGCATCTCAGTGTGCTCTATTTCAAGTGACGTGTTTCTTATCATATAAGACATAATAATTCCTTTACTGTTGCTTACAACATAACTTCTATTCTGACACTTCATGTTGGAGAACATGCATAATATAATTCCTTGCTATATACTGTAAAGTTGCTGGTGATTACGTTTCCTTTTCTACAAGGAATACATTGTGTTGAAGGAGAAGCTGTCCTCCTTCTGTTGCTATACTTGGTGAGCTTGGAGAATCATTCTGCTCTGTGCTCACTTGGATTGATCCAGCTTTTACAAAGTTGGGAAAAAATATTGCTTTTATTGTTAAAAAGAAATTGTCACTTGTTTTATATTTTATATACTAAAAGCCTAGGCCTTTTGAATTTCCTTTCTTCTAAACCTTTCTTTCTGTTTAAATTGTGTTCTCATCCTTTTTATGTACTGTTGGGATTTCTTTTAGAATTTTAGCCTTTTTATTGATGCTGTTCAGTGCAAGACTTTTGCCTTGGATTTCTTGGTGAATGATAGCCTGTTTGGAAAAGCAGTTCCTATTGTTCTGCTGAACATTAAGAGGTTCTGAGCAAATAGCTATTCCACACTTGTAATGCAATTATTTACATGCAAATCAAATGTTCTTTGCATGTGCAGCAAGTTCTATGTAGAGGCATGGTCCTTAGAACTGCAATAGTGGGAAAAAGATTTATATGGAGGAAAGAAAAGGTAGTGCAGAGGGCGAGTAAAAAAAAATAGAGTGTTTCAGTTACTGAGTAAGTACTTGCTGCAGTTGTAATGCATTACAGATTCCAGCTGTTTGCTCTAAATTTCCATTCAAGCATCCTGTCCTGGAAAATGCTATCAAATGTCTGTTTATGTACAATTGTCTCAGATGTGCCACTATGCAAATGATGCAAAGGAAAAAAGTTTTTTTTATTATTATTATTATTATTTTTTAAGGCTAGCTGCCTTTAAAAAAAAAAAAGGTGAAGTGGACAGGTAACTTGAGGTGGTTTAATCAAAACTTAAATTGCTGCAGCATCAAATAGAGTGCTTATTGGCTATGCGTGAATTGATAGACAGGGATCTGGGTAGTGAAATACTGATGCAGAAAGCCAGATATTAATTGCGGAGGATTTTTTTACATTTCAAACTATCTCAAGTCTAGTGTCCTAGAGTGACTGTTAGCAGTTGGAGTGATTAGGTGCATTCCTGGAGTGCATTTTATGATTTAGTTGTGATCATAAAGAATGCTGTTAATTTGATGTAGGAATGCTGTGGTGCAAATCATTGCACAGTAACTAGGAATGATCCAGAACTTTGCTTCAGAGTATGCTATGAACACAGCCTGCATTGTATGTGCACTTATCTGATGACAATTTTCAAGCACTGAACTTGAATGTGAAGACTGAGTAAAGGATAATAGTCACATGAACTTGTGTTCTCTTTACTTCTCTTTTATAATGATAGATTAGATATGGTGGATGTCTTTATCTGTAACTGTGTGCTTTCACTTTATTGCTGTTTTGAACTTGCTAGTAAGTTTACTATTTAATTATTATCAACATACAGTGAACAAGAACAAAAAAAAAGTTTTCATCTCATCTAAAAATTTTCCAATAATTTTTCTATAAACAAGTGTTTAGTCTTAGTATGGTAGTTGATATGAACTGGTTTTGGTCCTGAATAAGATGTGAACTGTGTTCTAGACCACTGACTTTTAATGTGGATTTTAATGGCCACTCAGATCATTTTTTCAGCTTTGGAGATGCTAAGTAACAGAGAAAAGATGCTGTGTATATGAAAGCTAAAATGCTTGCATCTTGCAGATTTTGCTAGATTTTAAGACATTTTAAAATTATTGCATTGTAACACATTTGTGTTACACTGTTAAGTATTTGAAAAATCACTGGCTAATGAGCAGTGCTGTTTTTTTTTCCTTCTGATTTTAGAATTCTGAAATGTGGTACAAGCGTCACAGTATAGCTATTGGGGAAGTACCAGCATGCAAGCTTGTTTTCCGCAGGGAGTTAACACAAGAAAACATAGAAGAGATATGGAAATCAATGACTTTGTCACGGTGAGTATGCATGTTAGTAATACTAACTTTCCTGCAAAATCAGCAGGTCAAGTTCACAAGAAAACTTCAGTACTTCCTGACTTCTTTCTCTTGTACTATTTCAGTTCTTTTATTGTGTGGGCTTTGTTTTGTTTTATCACATTTTTTCCTGAATCTTTCCCTTCTCCTGTTATGAAATTGAAGAACTCATGTAGAAGTAAGACACCATTAAGCCTTTTAATGAAAAGTACAAAACTTAATATGAAGAAATAGCTATGTCTAGAAGTCTTAGAGAAATTCCTTACATTTTTCATAAGGAATATCCTATGCAAAACTAAATACCTTATTTTAGAACGTTTTTTTGTCCTGCAAAAATATGCTTTAGATAATTTTACATTATGATATCTTTTCATCTAAGCCTGGCATACTATCTCTATGTAATAAACTTGATCTAGTGCAGTGTAGCATAGGAAACTGTGTGATCAGAGAATAGTGTCAGTCTGCTCTAATCTTCCTTTGCATGCTTATGACTTAAATAATAAGTGTAAAGGGTCTCTTTCACAACTGTATCTGCCCTAATGCTATATATTTTCTTGCAAATTAGAGTATTAATGTATTTGTTGTGTTTTTAATGTATTTTTACAGACTACAAAAAGTCTTGGGTTTGGATTGCCTGGATGAAGTGATAGATACAAAGCTTGTGAATTCAAAGCATATTGTCCAAAATGCATACAATGTCAATAAGCAAGGCATTGTCACTTTAGAAGACAAATCAAGTGAGTATTTCAGAAGTTCTTGTTTAACTTCTTAGGTTGTAGTTTATTATTTTTAAAAAACAACATAACTCTGATTTATACAAATACATAGCAACTTTACACTTTTATAACCACATTAAAAAAACTAGAGTTTTTATGAAATGTACTGTTGTTGTGCACCCCAACAGCAAGAATCAGTTTTCTTTTCTCCATCCTCACATTTTAATATCCCTGCTTTAGTACATGTATTAGGTTTATGTGGGAAAGCTTTGGCAGCAAGAAGGATGCTGTAAGAAGAGCCCAGCAGTTGCCCCATGCCAGCTCAGAGCCAGTGCCACCTGGCTCCAAAAAAGTCCCAGTGATAGCCAGAAATGATCCAGTGAGTCATGCTGTGAGATTGTATTTAAGAAAAGGGAAAAAATGCTGCACAACAGCAGGGGGAGAGAGGAGTGTAAGAGGGCAAAGGCCAGGGGGCACTCCAGGCCCAGAGCATATCCCCACTTGAATTCTGTGAAGGAGTCCACAGCACAGCAGAATTGTGTCCTGAAAGATGCTGCAGTTCATGGAGTTCTTTGCTGGAGTAGGTCCTGTGCTAGAGCTGCCACCCGTGGAGGATCCATACTTGAACATTTAACTCCTGAAGGGTGGACTCTGTGGTACTGACTCACACTGGAGAGTATTGGAGAAATGGAACATTTGGGAAGCCCGCACAGAAAACTACATCTAGATATTAGGTATCCCATTCTAGATGACTGGGCGGTAGGGACTGTGTCATGGTTCTATGTTTTTTTTGTTTTTGGGTTTCAGTATTCCACATCAAAACATCATGTAGTGTACGGGGCATTAAAGTGTCACTGCCCCAATCCCAGGTACCTATCCCTGTACATTACAGCAGTCACGGGATCTGGCCCTTCCGGGTGGGGGGGGCGCTCTCTTGCTGCCTTGCAGTGGGTGCTGGAGGTGCTTTCCTAGCCGTTCCAAGCTTTTCAGGTTTGACTCGGTCCTGGGAACTCTCTCTCTCATCTTGTCTGATTTATTAATCTCAATTTCATTGTAATGTAATTGCAATGCATTGCAATGTACATTAAATTGTACATATTGTGTTATCTTGTATTCCAATATTATAGTAAAATAAGTTTTCCTCCATAGATTGCTGCTGCTGCTCTTTTCCTCCCTTCCTTCCTTCCCATTTTTGTGGGACTGGGGTGAGGAGGCCTGTTGCCCCTGTCACGGACATAGATTGATCTGGTCAACTCCGGGACAGACTGTAGTTTGCTTTCAGTTTCACTGCTTTAGTTTGTTATTATCAATAGGCAACATATTATATTAATTTCCCTTGAGTCTGTTTTGCCTGTGACACTGATTGGTGAGTGATCTGCCCCATCTCAACTTGCAAATTTTTTTCATCATATTTTCTTCCCTTGGGAGACTGAGAGGGAATGAGAACTGTATGGTGAAGTTTAGCCTACTTATTAGCGTGAAACCATCACAGCAATATTGAACAAAGGTGAAGGAACTGACATTTTTCAGTTAGAATTGTGGGGATGTATTTTTTGAAGCTGCCTTTGTCAGCTTATCTGTGCCTGGAGTGTCTACAAGAGAGCAACATGTAGTAAAAAAAAAAACAAAGAAAGGATGAGAATATATACAGGGAGGCTTAGAACTTTTAATTTTTGCGTTTTCAGTCAGTATATTTTGAAAGAAGCACCGTGTAAAACTGCTTTTCTCACTAGGGAAACATTAAATATGATATGAGAGATTACTTAATATTGTAACCATGTTTTCCACAAGATCTGTAGAGAAGTGAAACATCAGGTAGGAACCTGATTTGGTTTATGAAAGTAACCATGTCTAAAGCATTTATGTGTTAGTTCTCCAGACAGTTGGAAGACTTCAGGATATTGCTTTCCTCTTTTCAGAAATGACGAAACTGAACATATGAATGCTTTTCATCATGCATAGTACAAAATAACCACTTTACACATTCACTAGTCCCTTACAGAAAATCCAATATGTTTGGTTAGATTTTGCAAGGCAGATTAATACTATATGATACAGTTTTCCTTATTAAGCTGCAACAGTTGTAACTGATTGATATTGAAGCACTGAAAATAATATGTTTGTAATCTGACAGAAGTTATTTCTCTCTATATTAAGTAGCAATCTGTTTTTTTTTCCTTTCAGTCTACTTTATAAGAGGAACGTCATTAAGAATTTTGAGTTCACTATGATCTTAGAATTTGTACTAGAAAAAAAAACAACAAAAAACAAACACCTGAGTAACACTTTCATTTACATTTTTTTAATTTTTCCCTTGTGCAGAGGACCTACCTCACTGGATATTGTCAGCAATGAAATGCCTAGCAAATTGTAAGTAAACTTGGAATAGAACCTAAAATGTCACTTAAGAAAAAAATCATCTTCATGATGTTTCACCACTTCATCAGCATTTCACCAAATATCAGTGATATTCATAGTCAGTATTTTTTCTGATAATGGCCTTGAAAACAATGTTGAAAAAGATCAGTCAGTCAGCATATGTTCTCCTGTCAGTGCAGTTCACTTCACTGAAATATCTTAAGGTTAAAGTATTTCCATTTTTCCCTCAATTATGTTTGTTTTCACTAGATCTGTTAGAAATATAAATAAACTATTTTTAATAGTGTATCTAAGCTTCTTTCCTGCATGAATTTGCACTTGTAGTGGCTGGAATAGCAAACAGTTGATTAGCTGCAAATTAACTTTTTTTTTTTTTTTTTTTTTTTTTTTAATAGGGCCCATCTGCTCAGATTTGAAGCAACCTACATATTCAGGATTTGAAAGAGATGTCTTCAAAACAATAGTGGACTACTTTGGCCAGATGAAAGAACCACTTCTTACATTTAATTTTTTTGATGTTTTTGTTAGTGTGTTAGGTAAGTGGTCTGGGATGTAACAAGAAATGTATTCCTGGTGCTTCAAAGACAGTTTAATTTTTAGCTATAGCTAAGGCAACAAATGTTCCTGACAATATCTTTTAGAACCTTCCTACTCTTTCATGCTTTTTTTTGCTTTTCTATTGTATTTAGTATGTTTCAGGACTGAGTTTCATTTCACAGCATTCCAGATGTAAAAATGAGAATGAGCAATTCGTATCAACACTTCTGTACAAGTGAAAAGAAATTGTGCACTCTTTCAAATAAGTGTGAAAAGAAGTCACTTCACAAAAAAATATATATATATTCCATATGGAATTTTTCCTTATAAACAAAAATAAATATATACAAGTCATGAAGGTATAGGATTTTAAGAACTACTTTGTTTTCAATCTTCATACTTTGCCAATCTACTTAAAAATACCATCAGTATATGTTTGAAATTGTCAGATCTTTCTAGCTTTGCCTAGGCAGCCTACTCTGGACACCAATTTACAGGCATTTAAATGTCTAAAAAGTTGCATGTGGCTGTAATGGGATGTCTTGGGATACTTGATTTAAGTACCTTCAATTACTTATGTAAGGATAAGAGTGGTTGGTCTAGAGTATTCCCAGGTGTTTTTTTCATGCTGTTTTACTTTTTTTATGATTCAATTATTAGTTTCCCTATTTAGCTAGAAAAAGAAGTTCAAGAAGGCAACTCATCTTCTGTTGTGATGTCTCACTCTCCTTTTTGTACACAAAAAATAGTTCTTACTAGTAGTAGGAAAGCAAATAAGGGACCTAACTCTATGCACATGCAAATAATGTGGGGAATAAGTGAGGAATTACTTGTGTATGCCTGTTGGTCTCTGATCTTATTGGTATCACAGAGGCGTGATGGGATGGGCACAGGTTCTTTAAGAATAACATTTAGGTGAGGTGAAGTCACTCTACTCAGTGACCAGCTGAAGTGTGTGGAGCTCTGCCTGGGAGTAGATGAGGAACAGACGAAATTTATGGATTAAACGAGGGCAAGGACAGGTGTCATTATGATGGTGATCTGCTGTAGGCTGTCTGAATAGGAAGAACATGTGAATGAGGCCTTTTACTCAGATGGAAATTTCACAAGGCCTGGTCCTGGGGGCCTTTAAGCGCTATGATATCTACTGGAGGGACAACACTCTTGAAGATTCCTGGAACAAATCATAGAATCATAGAAGTGCTCAGGTCGGAAAAGACCTTAGAGATCATAGAGTCCAACCACAACCTAAGCATATTACACTAATTCTAACAACCCTCTGCTAAATCATATCCCTGAGCACCACATCCAAACAGTTTTTAAACACATCCAGGGGTGGTGACTCAACCACTTCACTGGGGAGCCTATTCCAGTGCTTAACAGCCCTTTCTGTAAAGAAGTGCTTCCTGATATCCAACCTAAGCTTACCCTGGCACAACTTGAGGCCATTTCCCCTTGTCCTGTCACCATTCAGAAGAGACCAAGTGTAAGGCACTGTAAGCACCTTTCAGATGTTGGAAGAGAGCAATAAGATCTCTCCTCAGCCTCCTTATCCCCAGACTGAACAGCTCCAGTTCCTTCAGTGCTCCTTGTAGGACATGTTCTCCAAGCCCTTCATAAATCTTGCTGCCCTTCTTTGGACCTGCTTCCTTCTCCAAAGGGTAGAAAAGCCAGTGAGGAGACGTACTACGTAATTCACTAACAGGATGGGGCCTGTGGGGAATCTGAAGTCCAAGGAAGTCTTGGCTGCAGTTACCTTGGAATGGTGGAGTGGAATCAAAGGTTCACAACAAACTTTCAACCCCAGGAGAGCAGACTTTAGCATCTACAGGAATCTTCTTACTAGAGTGAGATAAAGCACTAGAGGGAAGAGGGGCTCAAGAATGCTAATTCAAAGATTGCCTCCAAGATCAGGAGCAATGTATCCCAGCACAGAGAAAGTGGCAAAAATATCAGGAGACCTGTATGAATGAACAAGGAACTGCTGGCTAAACTCAAACACAAAAAGAAAACCTACAGAAGGTGCAAGTCAGGACAGATAACCTGGGAAGAATACACTTCCTTCCCAGAAAAGGAATCTGGGGAGATGGATTCTTAAGATATTTAGAAAATACCTGTGGAAATAGGTAATTGAGAAATGTTTCTGTGTTACTTTATTATTATTTTTATTTTTTTTTGAATGGTAAACCAGGTCTGCTGCAAAAACACAGCGAGGCTATAGAAGCTCTTCAAATATCTTGTCTCCTGCTGCCACCAGAAAATCGGAGAAAACTGCAGCTGTTGGTGAGAATGATGGCAAGAATTAGCTTTAACAAGGATTTGCCACCTCTTTCTGAATCAGTGAGGACCAGAGTCTTGGTATGTATAGTAATAAGGCAGAAGATCTCACAAGGCTTTTGGAGTAGCAAAAGCTACTCTCTCTTACTGGAGAGCATATGTAAAGTAAGGCTTGCTTATTTGATGAATAGTTTCTCTATTCCAATTATGCAAAAACATCTCTGAATTTGAACAAGTTGCTTTTGAACTTGTGATCAAATGCAAAACTTGCGCAGGACTTGAAGGTTAAACCCACCTTAAAGTTAAATCCCCACTGATTTTTTTTCTATGCAGACTTAAACAGACTGACTGTTGAGAGTATAATAATGACAGAATAATAGAAGATGAGGTCTCTGTTCTTCATAATTGCAAAAAGTGTGAGAGAAACAGACTGCCTGCTTGAATTAAAGTTAAAAATATATGCCTGAATTTTTTTGTTTTTGCAACGAGAAAAGCAAATCGTGCCAACTGATTTCATTACTCATTTTTGTTCTTCACTTAACTACAGAAACATTCTTTTCTATATATCATTTTTATTCATAATTTGACAAACCCCTACTCTATGCTAATGTCAATGAAAACTGTGATAAATATATAAATAGCCCTACAAAAATGACATTATCACAGTCACATTTGTATTGGTTTTATTTTAGGCAAAATTTAGCTATTCCACTATTTCTTTTTGTTAACATTTAAGTTCTCTGCAAGGAGTAGAGCATTGGAAAGCTCAGCTGTTCCATAAAAATCTTAGGATGTCTACATCTGAATTTTTTCTGTAACAATGAAGATTTTAATTAACAATAATGATATTTTATTAAGATAATTGAATTATTGACTGATACTTTTAATTAATTAACTGTAAATGATATTTTTAACAAAAATAACGTAATTACAAGGTAAATGTTATTTTTTTAAGTGAATCCTATACAATCCAAGTACTTTGTATTATATTTTATTTCAGTGGTTTAATCTACATCACAAAGCAAAAAACTTTGTTCTTCTGTGCTAGAAATGTTAACAGTGACTAGTACACAGCTAGAAAGCTTGTAGTCTCATATTTGTTCATATGTTCATTTGTTCATATGTTCATTTACATGTAGTGAGCTGCACCTGAAATTTTATTTGAAGGATTAGAAAGTAATGGCATTAAGGTTTCCTTCTGCCACTTAACTTCTATTCAATTGCTGTGTTGTTTTTAAAAAATTATGAAATTTATGCTCTATTTGACTGGAAAGGCCGAGTGAAATGCTTGAGAGTAAAATGAAGAGCAGCCATTCTATGCCTTAGGTCAGCATTAGATTGTTTGAGGCAAGAGCCATCTTCGGTCCATTCAGTGTCGGTACAGTACACAGTGCTTATTTTTTTTTATTTTTTTATTTTTCGGAAGTATGGTGAGTATTTTGTTGTCAAGAGATCTTTTAGGAAAGATTTTAATACATGCAATTTTTTCTCTATAAATAGAAAAGTAAAGTAAACTTTTTTTTTTCTCAGATGGTTCAAGCATTTTCCCGTTGTATTCTCTGCTCTAAGGATGAAATGGACTTGGATGAACTGCTTGCTGCTAAGCTAGTATCTTTTCTCATGGACAATTATCAGGAGATATTAAGTGTTCCATCCTCCTTAAAATCTTCTATAGAGGAACATGTTGTACATGTCCAAAGAGTTCAAGTAGGTGTCTAGTGGGAAAAAACACCTTGTGTCACTCTGCTTCAATAGCAAAATCATGCCTCCTGCTCCTGAGTTTGATGTATCTTAGACTTTTGTCTGTCTCTGCTAGCATATTAAGAGCTAGTTTGTTTTGGCTACTGATACTCTATCATAACTATGTAGTTAAATGAAACTAAACAGATCTTGGACGTCTTAGGGACAAACATGTTCCCATCTTGGTCAACTTCATCTTCTCCAGGAATGGGATCACAATATTTTGAAGGCATCCACATGTACTTGACCTTATCATAACTTCATTTCCTTTTTCCAATATCATATTTTCATGTTTAGTTCAACATTTATTGATTTCCACTGAAGTACTTAGCCATTTATTTTAAGATAAGAATTACATGGGCTTCCAATGTTTCATGCTTCTTGACTTACTAGAACTCACTCAATTTGTGCAAGAGGTAGGAGGTAGAATTTGTGGTCTTTTTCTGTTGAATGACTTTGAGTAACATTTAATGACTGTAATGACACAGTAGTTAACTTGGTACGGTTCTTGTCTTTTTTCCCAAATTTGTTGCAGAGAAAAACTTTTCTTTTTATTCTTTCTCCAGATAAAATATGCTGGAGCTGACACTGATGCGGCTTTTCCTGCTCCATCATTTTGCCATCAAATCAGCACAGATGAATTTGAATACCAAAAGGCAACTGGCTCTCAGGAACCGCTGGCAGCTTTATTAGAAGAAATTGCAATGAATAAAGAAATATCTGTGAAAGACAAGAAGAAGAAACTCAAACAAGTAAGTAAAAATTTCTCCAGTATTTATTTAATTTTGAAAAGCTTTATGGATTTTTACATTTATGGTCCTCTAAAAAAAATAATGACTGTCAAAGCAGTAGATAATCGTGGGCATTTATAACATTTAATTGTTTAGAAGTGCCATGGTGAATAAGCCATACTGGAAAACAAAACTTAAATTTCTATACAGAGATATAGAGAGTGTGTTGAAGGAATTTTCTTGCTCCATTCATGGATATGACATTCTTATTTTAAAATGACAAATATGAGTGAATTCTTCGTTTAAATTGATTTACTTTTCTAGTTTCAGAAATCTTACCCTGAAGTGTATAGAGTACGATTTCCTACCCCTGAAACTGAAGCAGTGCTGTTTCCAGAAAAATCGAAACAGAAGCCACCACTTCTGATGTGGGCTTTAAGAAAGCCTTTTCAACCATTTCAGAGAACCAGAAGCTTTCGGATGTAAAGAGTTTGTATGTAATACATCAGCAAACTGAGTCAAAGCAAATTTTCAATGGATCTTACACAAAAGGAGCACGTAATTTGCTCAGAAAAAATACTGGAGTCTGTAGAGAACATCAGTAGAGAAGTGTTGAGGACACAGAAATGTGAACCAATGTCAGTATTTTTTAAATCATGATTTTTTTTTTTTTAATGTTTGTTTTGTAGTTCTTAAAAACAAGATGATTAACTTGCATTGGGGATAAGGCACACTTGCTGTAGTTTGATCATTTCAAGGTCAAAACTTGTGTGCAATGTATTGTTAGTTAATCAAGAGCATTTTTTTTGTTGTATAAACTAGGCCGTTTGTTCATGTGTAGCTTGAGAAATTCCTAATCTGTAAGTACACGAATAAGTATGTAACACTGGATTTTGTTTTTCTGTTGTGTGACCTGTTGTTCTTATATAAAATTTATTTCATAAAACTGTAAAAACTCATTAATTTTGATTCTTATGATGCATTACATATGGAGTCAACTGTTGTTGAAGAGCCATTTCTTTTTTTAGTATAGACTTAAAAGCCTTTTCCAAAAGCTGTTATGAAATAGTGCTGTACAAATTTGGATGGCTGTCCTCTAGAACTCATTTTGTCAGTAAAATTTGAATCTTTGCATTTCTTCTGGAAATGCAAATATTATCTTGATTTTGGAGTATTGAGTACCCTTAATGATCTTGTTTGTTTTCCATTATGAAAACTATTGTACATGTAACTTGACTGGGAGTATGACTTGATTCTGGCAACAATTTGCAGACATCTACTGGTATGATACTGGTGGTACTTTTAGGTTATCCATCAGAGTTTTAAAGAACAGTTTTTTGTATGTCACTGAATGTCGAAGTCTATGCAGAGAGGGAAGGCAGCAGGTATCTCAACCAGTTTGTCTGAAATTCTAATAATGTGCTGACTAATCTGCAGCGTTCACTTTGCTAACCCCCTAGCATGTCAATAAGCTTGCAGATGTAAGGCTGTTGGTTTAATAGACTGGAATGTTTCTCGGGTATTGTGCTCTTTATGAACAGTACATGTTTTCATGGTCTGTCTTCACCCTTGCCCTTCTTAACAGTAATCATTGCTTAAATAAATGTGGTGCTAAAGGTACACTTTTCAAATATTAAGAACACATTAAAATTAATATTGAAAGTAGTCTGAGGCCACTTAAATTTTTTACTGGGTCTCTGGCAGTGATGTATCTTCTCATGTTTGTCATAGTATTCTGCATATTCTTATGTACAGACTGACTACTCATAACATAAACATTTGGTTATAGCAGTAATCCATAAAGTGTAAGAACTAATAAGGCTAGTGTTTTTCATAGGAATGAGGAAACCCACCCGATTTCATCTCTGACATCAGTTCTTAACTGCACAGGAGAGGTAGAATTCTATCTATTATGCACTGAAAATTATATCACTACTTATATGTGAGCCTTCTAGTGTCACACTGAATTGTTTCTCCAGTGATCCATTTCTACTGTTCATAGAGCCAATTTTAAACAGCACTTTGTGTTTATTCATTAGTTTCTAGTAGTAGCAATTGAAGACATGGTGTTTCTGTGGGTCAATTACAGTTGTGTTTCAAATAATTCTTTTTTTGTCTGCAACAAAAACAAACCAAGCAAATCCATTTGTTGACAATTCCCATGCCTGCCAAAAAATGCTGTCACAAAAAATTCTCTAAAACCTCAGGGGGGACTTAGAAAGAGAACTGCAGCAGAAATAATAGTTTCGCAAGACTGAATTTTAACTGTTGTCTAGTCTTGAAGACTGACAAAAATTATCTTGGAAATAGAGAATATTTAACTACAGCTGCTATTACATCTCTTCCTTGTCTCATAACTGAACTAAATGCGCACATACAAAGCAAATATGGTATTTCTGAATGGAGGCTGGAAGAAGAAGATTGCTAGAACAGTAGTACAAAGAAGACGGTGGTCTTGGTAAAGAATAAAAATGTTTCTGTATTCCTAACATGTAATCAATAGAAACCTCTGTTTTTTTATTAACGTTCTTAGGAATATAACTTCTCTATGAAAGCCGTGTAGTGTCTTGATATTGCCAGGACTGAACAACCTTGAATCAGTTGGGCTTTATTTCCTGTGAACTGTGAGATTCTTCTGCTTACGCAAGTAGTTGTTACTGGAGAGGTTAGCTAAATTAAGACTTAGCTGACATTCTTTTTAAACACAGCAGGTGGAAAACTCAATAAAGGTAGATGATCAGTATCTTAAATATCTACCTTCAAGCTCATGTGTAAGTAGGAGCTATTTCTCAACATTGTAGTCTAAATTTAACTCCTTAGTACTAAAGTTTCTATTGCAATGCCATTATTTGTAGCTCTTGGGCTTTTTGGAAAAGAATCAGAAACTTTCAGTTGAAGTTTCTGTGATTTTTGTTTTGTGTGTATGCTAAGACCAAATAGGTAATTACACATGACTCTAATAGCAAACCTTCCAGAAGAGTGGAAAACTTGATGCAAAATTTTAGTGGGACAAATTTGATGCAGAATATTATAGCTAATTATTATTCAGTATGTTGTTTTTGATTTCTCACTGAAAGTACACTTGTACGGTGAACGTAGCTTTGTTTGTAAAACTAAAATTACAATTGTATTTCAAAGCGTGTTTTAGTTTTTAATCCTGAAGTTATGCTGTGGGAGTGAGATAGCTATATGGTATGTTTAGGTATGGTATATAACTGATAATATACTTAGCCTGTATTTGTTTTATTTTGGACTCCTTGGAAGTACTAATGGAATCACATACATGGTTAAAAATTGTGGCTATATTATGGCATTACTTTTAATGGCTTCTGGCAGAATATAGTCATTAGTCAGTAATGGTTAAGTGATTAAGAACTGCATAAATGTAAGTACAAGGGCATTGTAACTGATGGAGGTGCACTTTATGGATTTTTTCAGAAAATCTGTACTGCATTTTCCTGTCAACATTTTCACTGAGAATGTGAAAATGAATGTTAAAAAAAAACAACACTCTTGGTATCACTAGGTCGCCTTCTCTGTTTTCAGAATGCTCAGTAATAATCAAGACATCGAAAAGGAACTGTGCAGGTTAAAAATGAATTCATACATGGTCACATCTAAACTTACATCAAAGAGCAGGGAATGTAGGTCATTTGAAAAAGAAAAGAGAGGAGGAAAGATTGTGCTCTGAAAAACTACAGTTCTATGAGTTTCCTCCTACAGTGAACAAGGCTTCCCAATATGCTGAGGCAGAGGGCTAATGTGATTCTTTAAGGTCTAAATTGGAGGTGGTTACATAAAATCAGCTGACTCATCTCTTGTGTGACCTCTGCTCATTACTGAGTGACTGATACTGAAACATTGCAGGATTTGCAGATTTTTATAAAACTATAGATGATGGAAAATGAGAATTCAAAATTACTTTCCTTAAACTGAGAGTTTGCATTACTTCAGTCTTTCCATTTATGCAAAACAAGAGCAGGAAGTCACTTGATTAGCTCATGGAAGTACATTTACATAAAGAAGTACATATTTTGGTAAGCAACAACGATGTGGGTTGAGATGGGAGCATTATGATATAGTTGGGAAGTTGAGCTGGATGTGTTTAAATATAGAGGTTTTTTTTAATAACATTTAGGACACTGAATGATGGGAATGTAGTGGATTTTATCTTTTCTTGATGTCTTCAGAAGTGTCTTTTTTTCTGATGGATATTTGGATATTTGCTGAAACCAAGGTCGCTAAGCTCATAGCAGAGTGAGCAGAGAAGCAGCATAATGACTTAACATATAGGAGACTGGACAAAATCCCCTCAGTCTGCACGCTCTGGATTTTAACGAAAGTTGCCCATCTGTTCATATTTATTGGCTTCACTAAGTGATTTGATATTCAGTAGCTGATGTGAGTTATTTGTCATTTCTCTGTGTTGTTTTTTTTTTTTAATTTTATTTAAAGCAACTAAAGAAAACAGTATCTTTAACTTTTTTTTTTTTCCCCAGACAAAACTGATGAATATAGGCAAAGTGGGATCACCTCCAATGTTGTGATGGCACAGCTGCATCTGAGGATAATGAAAATCAGCTATATTCTACCTAAAACTGGTCAGGGAGGGTGAGGTATGTGTCTATGTACTGCAGGATTTCTGCCTGGAAATTAGAGAGAGGATAGGATCCATAGAGATATGATCTGATGGCTGGTATGAATTCTAGTAATAGAGTAGTTGCTTTATTATCTATGTAAGTATTCTAAAACATGTGTCTTAGTCTTGTATTTTTCAGCCTGGAATTACATGGTGCTGAATTGATCAAGGTCACACCTAGGAAAAACAGCTCAAAACATCCAAAACAACTGAAAATTTTTCATCTTAGCACTAATGTAAAGCTGTCTATAGCTAGTTCTTGTAAATATTTTTTTCTACGATTATGGTTTGAAATCACTGCAAGGCTCTCTAAAACTTCAACAATGACTGTGGGAGAGCAGTGTTTCCTGAGCTCGTCTGCTGAAGAGAGGATGGACTGACCTTGGCACTTCTAGACAGACTCTGAAGGTGAATAAAAGGCATAACGTAATATATTTACATGTTTGCAAATTTATCCTTTGTTTTCTTGTCTAACTTAAGTGCCTTAAGTACTTATTTGCATGAGGATCTGGCCTTGTGCATAAGTAAGATATGCTATGTGATTTCAAATTTGATGTGCAGCACTGGCTTATAACTTTGATCTCGCCAAAAGCAGATGTTCTATTCTGAAGCTAATTTTGCATTCTTACAGTGGTGACAAGTTTATCAGTTTCTTATCTACTATGATGACATTCAGAATATTAGCTTTATTGTTCAGAGAAACTGTGTGAAGTAAATGGCCTTTTGTATGCTGGCATATATGCAAAGTATTTTGGGATCCTTGGTAACTACTATGTAGTTACTGCCCTTTAGATGCTTGGTAATTTATGACCCAGCAGAGGTCAGCCTTGTGACATTTTTCAAGGCACATGATCAAAGAAAAGGAGTAAAGTTCTTTCAAAGCCCTTGAAATTTTATTTTATAAAATGTATTTCTGCTAGTTACAGTTGGATAATGTTGTGTCGTAGTTAGGTGTGACTTCTTAAATACCTCTCTATGTATGAGGATCGTTTATTGCACTGTAAAATCTTTCCCTTGTTTGAACACAATTTTCTGAGTAACTTGAACTGGCTCCCTAGTAGTTCTATCCACTTAGACAGTAGATGTGAATATGCAATAATAACACTGTCAAAGGTTCTGCTGAGTCTTCTGCAACTGTGCTTGCGTTAATGACTGAAGCATGACACTTGAAACAGATAAAGACACTGCCTTTTACATTCAGCCAGTTTTCTGGAGCACAGGCCTTACGAG